ACAAAGGGACACACACACACACACACACACACACACACACACACACACACGGAGGGGCAGAAGGGTTAAAGGCAGGGAATGTATAGGCACAAATTCCCAATGATGAATGTGATTATAATGTATACCTAAAATGTACTAACAAACTTAATTTTAAAAATGCAGTACAGTAGTAAAATGGAAAGAAGTACTGATATGTACTACAATAGGAAGATACTGAAAAGGTTATGCTATGCGAATGAAGTTGGTCACAAAAGGCCACAATACTGTATGATTTCATTTGTATGAAATTTCCAAAATGGGTAAATTCATATAAACAAAGTTCATTATTGGTTTCCTGAAGCCAAGGGAGAGGGAAGCCTGGAATATCATTGCTAATATAAAGGACTTCTTTTGAGATGATGAAAATGTTCTGAAATTAGTGGTAATGGCTGCACAACTCTCAGTATTCTAAAAACCACTGCACTGCAAAATGTCAAACAGCAAACTTCATGATGTGGGGATTATGGGATTATATCCTAAATTATCTTCAGTACTGGTGATTGAACCCATGCCTTGAGTAAATGTTTCACCACTGGGCTACTTCCCAACTCTATTAAAAGTTGTTTGTTGAGACAGGGACTCACTAAATTTCCCAAACTCGCAATTTTCCTGCCTGAGTATCCCAAGGAGCTGAATTACAGATGTATAGAATGTACCAAGATGAAAAATTTTAGTTCAAAAAAGAAAATAAAAATACTTTGGGATTAGGTGAAATAGTATTTGGAAAGTTAGAGTGGACAGCAGTAGCAGTAATGATTATGTGAAAATGGTTATTTTAGCCTTAAACTTCTTGTATGTGACTTTAGAAAGCAACGAAAAACAGCCATACGAAGCAATTGTATTTCTTCTTTCTTTTAACTGCCATCATCTCCCTCCTTAAAGTTGAAGTTCGGTTACCAGAGGTAGAAAGCATATGGACAGGAAGTGAGTTCAAACTGGTCATCATCTATTCCATCCTGAATAATCAAGTGTTGCAAATCCAAATTAATATCAACAACAAAAATAGTTAATTCAGCCAGGGACGTTGCTCAGTGGCACTGTGCCTGCCTGGCAAGCTCAAGGTCCTGAGTCTGATCCTTGTACCCCAAAAAGAAACAAACAACAAAACAAAACAAACAAAAAAGAATAAAAAACAATTAAGTCTTTTCAGTTTTACTGACTTCTTAAGGTACATCATTCTGAGGAATTTAAAACAGTTAAAGTTATGCTAAACTTTTATAGGGGGCTCAGTGCTGCTGGCACTGGCCTCCAAGTATGAGGTCCTAATTTCAATCCCCAGTACCAAAAAAGAAACCAAAAACAAAATAAAACAACTCTTATAAATTAACATTCGAAGAAGATAAATCTAAATACTACCAAAAACATGACATTTTAAATCAGCTGTGAATATTTTATATATTGTCCATTTTTCTTTGACTTAATATAGATTGCAAAAATAAATACTAGGAAAACACTATGTAACAGCACTTCATTCTGCTTTACATTCATTGAAACTAAAACACATATAGTACTTTTTACCAAAACTAATAGTGTATTATTTCTAAGGATTCTTAAAATTTTCTTGCATTTATACATCTGAACAACTTCTGCCTAATAATCTGTTGTTTGAAAATGTTTTTACCTCAAGAAATAAATAAATATAATCAATTCCTTTTAAAAATGAAGTCAAGGTTGACTAGCATGTAAAAAGGCTATGTAAGACAACTGAAAAGAAACAAATACAAAAACTAGGGCTAGGCAAAATATGGTGGCTCCTGCCTGTAACTCCAGCATCCTGGGAAGCAGGGGCAGGACAAGTCACAAGTTTGAGTACCACCTGGGCAAATTAGTGATACCCTGTCTCAAAACACACACACACAGCTGTACCAGAGACAAGTAATGAGACTAAGTGGATCAAGTCAAGCATGATGCAATAAAAAGTGATGAGGATCTGTGGCAAACATGATCCCATGCTAATCTGAAGAGAACAGTCAACTAGCGGCATGTGATGTTAGTCTGCTGTTGCCAGTTCTATTTTTCTCAAGACCCAAATCTGTTTTTTTATGTGAGCTCTCAGAATTAAATTGACATCATTTAAAAGAATGAAATCTCCTGTTCTGGTTACTTCTAGATTTTTCTCAAAGGCCGAATTTTTGATTTGGTTTTTCACAATAAATACCATGTTAAATTTGGCATGAAATAAATTTTAATGTATTTATTTAGCATGGAAAACATTTCTAAACTTAAAGCAATATTACAGATTTAAAACTACTGCAAACACCTTTGGGATCTGATGCCAGTCACTCTAGCTAAGATTTATACAGAAATAAGGCTAGACTGCTGTGCCCTCAGACTTTTCCAATTAAATCATCAAGGGCAGATTTTGGAAAATTCCCCAGCCTGTGGGTCGTGTCTAGGGAGAAATTTCAAGCTTCAGAAAAATTTTTGTTTTAAATTAACACTTGATACAGATTTTGGCTCCTACTCTACAATTATTCACGCTTGCTTTAATGCAAAAGCTGTTCTATTATTTCTTTCCATAATATTCACCAGTTTTATTTTGTAGTTTTACAGAATCTGTAGCACAATGCTCCCTAACTCCAGGGTACAGGTGACCTGTTGGCAAAGCAAGGAGTTTATCCACGAAGACTTTCCTTTTTTCTTTTTAGAAGCCAAAGTCCTTTCTTGGAACATGGTTTAAGGAACGATGCATAAATATATTCTCAAAATACTTTACTCTTAACACTATAGTACTCTGTAAGTATAGTAACCTGATGACTGAGGGAGATTTACTGTAAATAACCGTTTTCACCAGTCGATTTTACAACCGTCCCAAATGTTTTTAGATTTATGAATTACATTTAAAAACATTTCATTTTCCAAGATACTTCAAACCTTGCAACAGTCTACCATTCGATAGAGTTTAGACAGCTCTTTCACCTCTCCCTCCTTAAATCCTTTAAGATAAATTCACCATTCATCTTCCACAAAGCTCCTACCAAAAACCCGAATCAGAGACAACGCCTCTGTGCGCAGAAGCCGCGGGAGGAGGAGAAAGAGGAGGAGTAAAGCAGGCCCTCCGGATGCTGGCCTGCAGGGAGCTATGCAACAGAGGCAAGCGCGGTCCCAGGTTCAAACAGGGCCCACCACTCCGGAGGGTCCCCGCGGGGCGCAGAGACAATGGCCCACAGAGATGCTGGCTCGTCAGCACCAGCGTGCAGAGTGCGGAAGCAGGGCTGGCCGGTCCCGCAGCTGGGAAGCGGGGTGAGACGCGGAGGGCTGCTCAGACTCTGCGCGTCCCCGGGGTCGCTCGGACCGCACAAAGGGCCCCCAGCCGGCCTCCCTGTTTCCTCACCTTTGCCAGCGGACAACCCTTCGGACCCGCAGAGCCGCCGGGAGAATCCCTGCACAGGACGGGGAAACGACGACAGGCGGCGGCCTGACGGGCGAAGACGACTCCAGCTCCACAGTCGCTGGGCCTTCCAGGTTCGGTTCCCCGGAACGAGCCCCTCCCCACTCCCCTTGCTCCGCCCCCGCCCCTGAGTGGCGAAGGCCCCGGATGTTACCTCCTTCGGCGTCCTGAAACCCCGCCCTTTCTACTCCCGCGCCGGCCCCTTCCGAATCCGCTACGGATCCCGCAAGGCCCTAGACGACTTTCGACGTCTCCTGGGTGGCTAGAGCGTCTTCCTGCGCTCTGGCGCGCTGCAGGTGACGGCGCCCGGAGGCTGTCGGGAAGTAGGCGGGGTGACGTGGGGTTGAGGATCTCCGCGGCGGGTTTGCTGAGAATTGTGGCCGGCGGCAGCTGGTTGCGGGGGGCGGCCGAGTGCGAGAGTGGAGCGGGGCGGTGTGTGGCTGGGGCCATGACGGGCAATGCCGGGGAGTGGTGCCTCATGGAAAGCGACCCCGGGGTCTTCACCGAGCTCATTAAAGGATTCGGTGAGAACCAAGGGGACCGTCCTGGGCCGGGGGTCACGGGAGGAGGCCCAAGCCGGGCGTGGAGTAGCCACTTGCGGCCACCGCCGCCCCGTGCCTGAAGAGAAGTAACTTCAGGAACCTGGAGTCGAGGTGGGGGGCACGCAAGGGCCTCTGCCTCTTCTCGGCCTGGAGCAGTCGCGTTTCTGCAGTAGTTTTGAGAGCCACACCACGAGAGCAAGGATCGTGGCTGTCTTGTGGACTGCTATATTCTCAGGACTCGGGACTCAAAATACTTTAATTGACCCGGGGGCCTTCCCTCTCCTCCCCAACACCTCATGCTCGTCTTCCTTCCCACTGCCTGTTCTGCGGAGCCTCCCCATCCTGGGCTAGTGTGTTTGGGTGCCTAGTCCAGGCCACCAGTCCTGCAGGCGAAGGGAGTGTCTTCTCCAGGGTGGTGTCTGAGGCCCAGGCCGCCCAGGAACTCGGGATTCTAGTTACTCCAAACTGAACTGCGTGGGCCTGCCAGACTGCCTCACTGGTTCTTTTGCTCCCTGAGCAGTTGCGGTTTCCGGTGGAGGGAGTTTTTTTGAGAAGGAGCCCTAGACTAGGGACCACATGCTTTCCTTATAATACCCCTCTGCCTTATTCATTTCCTTCCATACTAATCAACACATACTTTTTATCCTTCCCTTTCGATTCTCAGCTCATCTTTGCTCATTGAGTTTTTTTTTAATCTCTTACATTTCACCAAGTAGTATTTCTAGTCGTTATGTTAAAATTTGTACTCGGGATAGCAATTAAACCTTAATGTAGATATTCTCTACTGTACGTAGCTGAACATGTGCAATACTTACCTGGCATGTGTTGTACATCTACGTTATCTCAAACACACTAATAAGAATTGGAAAGTTTTAATGTGAATAATTTATGGCTGTTTTTCTCAAGAATTGACAACTATAATATGACATGTTAATTGCTATGTTGAGTATATACAAAATATTTTAACAGGTTAAGGAGCACAGGCAGAAGAAAAAGAATGAACGATATCCATATTCTATCTAGTACAGTGACTACAGCTAGTAATGTGACTACACCATAATGTAGTGGACAAGAAGAGCTTTTGGACCTGAAGCTGAAAAGCTAAACTGAGGCTCTGACTTCATTACCTGATATTCACTGGGGATTTACTGTCAGAGATAAGGAAATTGAAATATATTAAAATGAAATTAACTTTTCTTTTCTTTTTTGTGGTACTGGTGATTGTACCCAGGGCCTTTGCAGTGAGAGCTACATCCATACTCCTTTTTATTTTGAGCCAGGATCTTGCTAACTTGCCCAGGCTGGGCTTGAAATTGTGAATCTCTTGCCTCATTCTCCCAGAGTGCTGGGATTACAGGCATATGCCACCACAGCCGGCGTGAAACTATTTTTATAATTAAAGTTTACTGTGCCTGTAGTGTGCAAGTAGAGTAGAATGAAGTGAGAGAAACTGGCAGTCTCTTTAAATGGCCAGAGTTTGAGATAGTGAGTTAGAAGGTAGATTCAGTAATTTTACTGTATTTAAATCACTAGTGGCATGTGGAAATGTCTTCTCCTCATTCCTTTTGGAGCAGGCCTAAATCCATAACATGCTACATTAAAAAAAGGAGTTCTCAGGGCTGCCAACCTTACAGTAGAGTTTGAGTGGTAGTATATTTCTCCTACATTAAAGGAAAAAATATCGATAGAGGACTGCTCACTAAATGAATGTGGGGAAAGTGGCAACAACTTTCTGGTTTCTAGCTTGGGTAGTTGATGAAGTACAATTACAATAAAAGAGCAGGCTTGATGGACAAGAAAAAGGGGTCAGTTTTGGACATACGCTGAGCTTGAGATGTATGTAGGTGTATTAATAAATTTTATATTCAGAAACTTGTTGTGACATGTTAAAATTGACATTCAGAAATAAACATTACATAAGCTCATTTAAAATTAGTTCAGTCCCTAAACAGTTGTTTCAACTTCATTTGTATAGAAATCTTGGAATTTGAAAATGATTTAAATAAAGTCATGCATCAGAGAGAAGTATATAAGTATGCTTTGAACTTACACATATGAAAAATAAAATAGCTGCTAATGGATTGGGTGTTAGCAGAATTTTGCAAAAATTCAAATGATGGTAGTTTTATACCATCAGATGTTTCAGAGAAAAAAATTTAGTTTATTCCAGTAATTTCCATCTTTTTTTTTCCTGATTCCTGAATTAAAAAATGCTTTTGGGCTGGGAATGTGGTTGATGCTTTTAACTCCAGCACTCTGGAAGGTTGAAGCAGGAAGATGGCAAATTTGAGTCCAACCTGGGCAATTTAGTGGCTTAGTGAGACCCCCGTGTCAAAATAAAAAGAGCTGGGGATGTAGCTCAGTTTTTAGGCCCCGAGTTAATCAAACCCCGGTGTCCTCCCCCAAAAAGTATTCTTTCAAAACTGAAACATCTGATTATATTATGAATGTCATTGTAAATTCATTTAAAAGCTTATATCATCGGAGGGGAAATTATTTGTAAATGCAGTGAATACATAAATACAGGTTTCAGTGAAATATATGGTAAAGCAATTTTTTTAAAGCTAAGAAACTGATGGATCAGAACTGTACAGTATATTAATTGATATGGTTCATACATATTACATAAATTTATCAAAGCCAAACTGATAGTTTACTAATAAATATAGAAACAGTATGTTTCTTCTCTTAGACTAGAGAGACTTAATGGGCTACATTTATTCTGTCTACAAGACTAGTGATCCAGTTTTCATTTTAAGGGACTAATGAAGACCACATTGACCTAGAGTAGTGATGAAAACAAGTAGCTGCAGCATGATCTTGCCATAGTTTCACCATCATTGACCAACAGTAAAAACAGTTGAAATAGTAAAAATCAGAGTTGAAATAAGAGAAAACAGTGGAGAAAATTAATGAAACAACATCTGGATCAGTAAAATTTGATAAACCTCTAATCATACTGAAGTAAAAGAAAGACATGAATTACCAATATAGGCATGAGAAAAGTCATCATTGCTGGTTCTATTGATGTCAGAAGGATAAGGAGATACTGTAAAGAGTTTTGTGCCTTGGGACTGGGGATTTAGCTCAGTGGTTCTGCACCTGAGTTTGATCCCCGGTACCAAAAAAAATAATTTTGTGCCAGTTAAATTTAACAACTTAGGTGAAAAAAATGTACAGATTAACGATATAAATCACCGAGGAAGAGTACACCCTTATATTTAATATGGGAATTCAAATTGTAGCTTAAAATCTTACAAAGAAATTCTAGCTAACACTGGTAAATTCTGTCATATATTTAAGGAAATACCAATTCTATATAATTAAAAAAAAATTGGAGAGGAAGGACTACATTCCACCTCATTCTATGAGGCAAGCATTACCTTGACACCAAAACCAAAGACTATGAGAAAAATACAGATGTATCCATAATCAAGATAAATGTAAAAAAATTGAAAGAACAACATATACTGACTTAAGTGGTTTTCAATATTCAGGGTTGGTTTAACATTCAAGTACTAACAAATCACTATATTAAACTAAAAAAAACTATTTCATTAAATGCAAAAAGCATCTGACAAAGTCCAACATTTGTTAAGAATTATAAAGTGTTATATCTTCCCCAGTCTGCCAGCTAACAGTTGACTTGCCAGTTTCATAGATGCTGTCAGACAACTTCTGTTGTACAGATAATTGTATTGCTTATGGCTCAGTAGACTGCAGGAGATTCATGTTTGTACGGGTTCCCTTGGTTTTGGAGTTGGGATGCAGGTTGACTAAGGTGGATACTGTCCACACAGTGTGTTACAGTTGAGGATCTCAGAGCTTAAGAAAATCTGTCTTATAAAGGGGCTGCTAACAAATCTCCTTGGCCTTTGTCTCTGAGCATTATTATTTTTATTATTTGGAACTGTAATTCTTCCACCTGCTACACTTCAAGTCTGCCAAATGTTTACTGTATGAACATTATTTTTTTGTACCAGGGATCGAACTCAGTACCTTGCGCTGGCGAGGTAGGCAGCAGCACCACTCAGCTAAATTCCCGGCCCTGTATGAATATTCTTGAAAGGCTAGTTGAAAGCAGTGGAGCATAGTGGTGCACACCTTAATCCTTGCAGTCTGGGAGGCTGAAGCAGGAGGGCTACAAGTTTGAGCTCAGCATGGGCAACAATGAATTAGCAAGACCATGTTTCAGATTAAAAAAATATAAATATGAAGGGCTGGGTGCGAAGTGCAATGTGGAGACCCTTGTTCTAGGTTCACTCCGCAGTGCTGGATGAGGGGAGAGGGAAGTCTAAGCAATTCAAGTGGTCGCTCTTAGAAGACATGCAGAAACAGAAGTCCATTGAGAATTGTCTCTGAACAATATCTGCCTTTCCATACCAAATATTCTATTCTCTCAGATGCCCTATAAGGTTGATACCAAATCTGTTCATCTCTTGCATTATGTGCATTAGAAAGCCAGGTGGCTCTATCCTTAAGGTTTGTATTGACCTTTTCTTTTGGCCTGCGTTATTAACTCAGGTATGGCAGGTTATATTAGTTTGCAGGCTACACTTTAGCATGATGGGAAGTCTGGAGCCATCCCATTATCTGTAACAGCTGATCCGTGAAAGGCAGATCCGAATGATTTTGAGTCAAAGTGGTGGCGGCTTAACCTGAAGGCCCATCATGACCACTTCTGAGGTGTATTTGTCCTTGCTTTGAGGAGAGTGGCAAATTAGTACCTGGCTTTCATGTAAGAAGTTGAAGTATGGTCTTGGGAGTTAACTAGTGTTGGGCTCCCAAAATAGGGCTGAATTGAGGGTTACAAGTTAGCAATTCCTCTAATTTAGAACTCCCACTTCAGTTCAAGTATTTGCATAGTCCTTGTTTTTGGAGAGATTGCTTGAGGGCTGTTAATTCAGTCTTTCCTATTTAATCACATAAGCCAAATGGCATTTGTACTAAGGGATAACAGAGGTCCAGAAGCTGGGGCCATTCCTACTGCTTTTGGTAGACTTGTTGGTAAGGGTAGGGAAATGAGGTTCAGATTGTTAAACCATTTATTGGATCCCATCACAGGCGTGCATGCCTGTAATCCTGACTACTAAGGTGGCTGAAGCAACAGAATTGCAGGTTGGAGGCCAGTCTGGGCAATTTAGCCAGACCCTGTCTAAATGAATAAATGCCTGTCTGTTGGAAGATAACATACCGAGCATTTGAGTAAGGCACTGGCAACAATTTGGAAGGGCCCACCAGAGTATTTTTCTTGGGGAAGGAAGGTTCCAGTTGTATTTTTAAGAGGGTTCTTTTTGAAATTATTTTTAGGAAATCATTATTGTAGGGACTACCACTATCATAAATGTGTTAGTCATTACATAAATATTTCAAAACTTCTGTCTTAACTTTAGTATCGCCTTTTATTTTGAAACAATGCTGTGGTTTGGGTGACAAATCATGATCATTCTATTTTCGACATACTTCAGTTATCCAAAGTTTTTTTTTTTCAGCAGTATGGATATAATCTCTCTTCTGAACTTACAGAACATGTGTTATGTGGACCCTTTATATGTAATTTATGCATGCTGTACTGTCCTTGTATGTGCTGTGACAATACTTCATTAATATCTGTCTGTGCTAGGGCCTAGTACTGACCTTGGCATATAAAAGTTATTTTGTAAGTATGTATATTTCATTAACTTGTAAGTCTTCCTCTCCTTCCTAACTTTTTAATTTATATATATTATTAGAGGAGTTTAATTCTTTTTGTTTAGTGTTTGCTTACCTTATTGCTCACAGAAGTGTTAGGCATTGGGTGAACCAGGTGATATCTTTGTTTTGTGTGTATACTAAAAAGTGAGGCTCAAATAAATTGTATAACTTAAGGTTAAGAACTTTAAGGCAGTTGCTAGGCTTAGGATCCAGGTCTCTGCATTCATTGCTTGCTTCTCTTTCCATTATGTCATGATGTCCTGTGTGTGTGTGTGTGTGTGTGTGTGTGTGTGTGTGTGTATTATTATTATTATTATTATTTTTATATTGGGGAATCAAACTCGGGACCTTGTGCTTGCAAGGCAGGATGTATTGTATATTGAATGTGTATAAAGAGATTGATGGTAATAGTTGAGTACTGTGCTTTATGTACATAAATTATTTAATTATTATAATTTTAAAGTCTTATAATTTGAAATTCTACCAGTGTGGAAGATTTTGGGGCACTTTTATTCAGTAGGGTTTTTTCTTTTTTTTAATGGGTAACATGTAGAATGTGAGGCAGCTTTTAAAACAATGGATCTCTAGTAGCAATAACCAGTATTAACAATTGCATTAGTGTTTGTGGCCTTCTTGTCACTCGTTAAATATAGGTTCAGTTTATGAGATTTTTTTCCCCCCAATTTAATGTGTGTGAATATCTATTAATTTTGATCTATTGCTAGTCGTTCAGGTTTCTTTGAGTTCTTCTCTACTTAGGATTTATGCATATATCTTTAATACCAGACTGAGTACTTAATAGATACTTCTGAACAGATTAAATAGATATGGTGTGATATAAATGCCTAAAGTTGTGCTATTGGTTGACCTGTCGATTTTTCCTTTCTTTTTTTCTGTGCTAGAGAACAAACCCAGGTTCTCATGAATGCGCTACCCACTCAGCTCAATCTTCTGTCCCATTTATTTATTTATTTATTTAGTTAGTTAGTTAGTTAGTTAGTTCTTTGGTACTGGGGATTGAATTCAGGTCCTTGCACTTGTGAGGCAGGTGCTGGAAGCCCTGATCTAAATCCCAGCCCTTCAGCCCTATTAAAAAAAAAAAATTAGGGACCTGGGATTTAGCTCAGCGGTTCAGTGGCCTGCCTTGCAAGCGCAAGGACCCGAGTTCGATACCTGGTACCACAA